CAAACGTTTCAGGTAGCCGTCCACAATCTTCCCACAATAAATTGAGTGAATTTTGGCCCATTCCTCCTGACAGAGCTGGTGTAACTGAGTCAGGTTTGTAGGCCTCATTGCTCGCACACACTTTTTCAGTTCTGCCCACAAATTGTCTATAGGATTGAGGTCAGGGCTTTGTGATGACCACTCCAATACCTTGACTTTGTTGTCCTTAAGCCATTTTGCCACAACTTTGGAAGTATGCTTGGGGTCATTGTCCATTTGGGAGACCCATTTGTGACCAAGGTTTAACTTCCTGACTGATGTCTTGAGATGTTGCTTCAATATATCCACATAATTTTCCTTCCTCATGATGCCATCGATTTTATGAAGTGCACCAGTCCCTCCTGCAGCAAAGCACCCCCACAGCATGATGCTGCCACCCCCGTGCTTCACGGTTGGGATGGTGTTCTTCGGCTTGCAAGCCACCCCGTTTTTCCTCCAAACATAACAATGGTCATTATGGCCAAACAGTTCTATTTTTGTTTCATCAGACCAGAGGACATTTCTCCAAAAAGTACGATCTTTGTCCCCATGTGCAGTTGCAAACCGTAGTCTGGCTTTTTTATGGCGGTTTTGGAGCAGTTGCTTCTTCCTTGCTGAGCGGCCTTTCAGGTTATGTCAATATAGGACTCGTTTTACTGTGGATATAGATACTTTTGTACCTGTTTCCTCCAGCATCTTCACAAGGTCCTTTGCTGTTGTTCTGGGATTGATTTTCACTTTTCGCACCAAAGTACGTTAATCTCTAGGAGACAGAACGCATCTCCTTCCTGAGCGGTATGACGGCTGCGTGGTCCCATGGTGTTTATACTTGCGTACTATTGTTTGTACAGATGAACGTGGTACCTTCAGGCGTTTGGAAATTGCTCCCAAGGATGAACTAGACTTGTGGAGGTCTACAATTGTTTTTCCGAGGTCTTGGCTGATTTATTTTGATTTTCCCATGATGTCAAGCAAAGAGGCACTGAGTTTGAAGGTAGGCCTTGAAATACATCCACAGGTACACCTCCAATTGACTCAAATGATGTCAATTAGCCCATCAGAAGCTTCTAAAGCCATGACATCATTTTCTGGAATTTTCCAAGCTGTTTAAAGGCACAGTCAACTTAGTGTATGTAAACTTCTGACCCACTGGAATTGTGATACATTGAATTATAAGTGAAATAATCTGTCTGTAAACAATTGTTGTCATGCACAAAGTAGATGTCCTAACCGACTTGCCAAAACTATAGTTTGTTAACAAGACATTTGTGGAGTGGTTGAAAAATAAGTTTTAATGACTCCAACCTAAGTGTATGTAAACTTCCGACTTCAACTGCATAACTGAGTCAGTCTAATTCTCTGGGGTTCAGATGACACTACCGAAATATATTACTGAGTCAGTCTATTTCTCCGGGGTTCAGATGACACTACTGAAATATATTACTGAGTCCAGTCTATTTCTCTGGGGTTCAGATGACACTACTGAAATATATACTGAGTCAGTCTATTCTCTGGGGTTCAGATGACACTACTGAAATATATTACTGAGTCAGTCTATTTCTCTGGGGTTCAGATGACACTACTGAAATATATTACTGAGTCAGTCTATTTCTCCGGGGTTCAGATGACACTACTGAAATATATTACTGAGTCAGTCTATTTCTCTGGGGTTCAGATGACACTACTGAAATATATTACTGAGTCAGTCTATTTCTCCGGGGTTCAGATGACACTACTGAAATATATTACTGAGTCAGTCTATTTCTCTGGGGTTCCGATGAAGCAGTAGCTACAGTAACTGGTAGAGACCAGCAACTACACTAAAGACTGGCAGGCAGCATGCTTTACTGTACACAGTTTGACTCAATTCATGATGTGACAAGATAACAGACGTATTGGTATTTTTTTATAAATACAGTATATTCCCTGGGCTGGTCTTTTTAATAAATACAGTATATTCCCTGGGCTGGCCAAAATCAAAAAACAAGTTGGTGCCATCGATCCTTCTTACTGGTAGTAGTAAATATAAATGTGAGTGATCCAGGAGAGAAGATGAGGGTTACTCCGCAGTATTTTTTATTTTTTGTCATTTTGCAGACGCTCTTATCCAGAGCGACTTACAGGAGCAATTAGGGTTAAGTGCCTTGCTCAAGGGCACATCGACAGATGTTTCACCTAGTCGGCTCGGGGATTAGAACCAGCGACCTTTCGGTTCCTGGCACAACGCTCTTAACCACTACGCTACCTGCCGCCCGATTAGTGAACTAATCTAGTGGCCTATGATATCTCCTGTATTCAAATGGATAAAACAATCATCCATGATAGGACCTGAATAAAGACACAGTTGCAGCCAAAAATATTGGCACCCTTGCACTTTTCTTAAAAAATGCCCTATTTCTTCTAAAATAAGTTTACATTTAAATATAACTTTTGGTCACCACACCTTGTTATTGGATTTTTTTTTACATTGCAGAACCAATTTTATTTTTTGTAAATGGACAAAATGATTGGCACCCCGGAGCTACATAGTACTTGGTTGCACAGCCTTTGGCCGAGATAACTGCCAACAAATTCTTGTTGTAGCCATACGTGAGCTTACTGCACCTTTCTCCTGGCAAGACCCACAACCTTTTGGAGACCCAGTTTTGGGACGCTGGTTTGAACATTGGACTTCCAAACACCTGATCATCTGCTGAGTTTCATGCCTTGCTCACGTCCAAGGCCCCCCCCAGTACCAGAAGCAACAAAGCAACCCCACAGCATTATCAAATCATCTTTGATTGTAGGGAAGCTGTTCTTTTTATTGAACGCTTCATTTGGTCACCGGTAAACACAGCACTGATCTGTATTGTCAAAGAGCTCAAATGTTGTTTCATTGGTCCACAGAACATTTCAGGGTTGTTTAGGTGGGTTTTTGAGAAGTTCAATCAGGCATTCTTGTGTCTCCTTCAGCAGCCTGGGTCTTCCTCTGTTTACCAACGATCAAATGAAGCGTTCAAAGAAAAGATTACACATCAAAAGGACCCTGGAATGGTTCAAAAAGAAACGCTGGACTGTTCTGGAGTGGCCAGCGAAGAGTCCAGATCTGAATTACATCCATAACCTACGGCGAGATAACAGCGCCCCTCAAAACATGGAAGAATTAGAACAGTTGCTGCTAAAGAGTGGGGCCAAATTGCCAGTAGAAAGGTGCAGCAAGCTCATTGATGGCTGCAAGAGGCATTTGTTGGCAGTTTGTCTTGGTCAAAGGCGATGCAGCCAAGTACTATCTCCGGGGTGACGATCATTTTCTCCATGCCGTTTGTCTTTATTTTCTATAATAAAAATAGTAAAACGTAAGTTTACAAAAATAAAATTGGTTCTGCAATGTTGAAATGATAATAACAATGTGCGGAGACCAAAAGTTTTTTTTCAATTTTCACCTTATTTGACAAGAAATAGAGAATTATTTAAGAAAAGTGCAAGGGTGGCAAATATGTTTTGCCGCAGCTATCTCTATCAATACTGATAACCAGATAATCCTAATCTCAGCCAACTCATTGATAAAGAATACATTTTCTCTCAAGATGAACCCACCAGTACACCAAGAACTCGATCAGCCAAACATGTCCTTTTAAAGCCAACATGACCGTAAAGCATACATTTTCTCATCCAAACATATCCGAACCACCCCGTGAAAGCCAACTACCGTTTAAAGCCAAACATGATCCGTTTAAAGCCAAACATGACCCGTTTAAAGCCAAACATGACCCGTTTAAAGCCAAACATAACCTACAGTATGGTACTATGGGTTTATCTAACCAGTGATATGCAGAACAGTCACTACATTGTGGACTATGTCTTGTCTTTAAAACAATAGCTGTTAACACTGCCTGCCTGCCTGTCCTGGTCACTATGTATACGATCATGTTATTATTTTGTAATAGAAAAGGTGTGTTGTGGAGTTAGTCCTGTAAAACTGGTAGATGTGGCATGCTACTTCTGTAGGAACGTGAACACAGAACTACATCTTGAGTGCGCTTAGCTAACTAGCTAGATTTTACGTTAAAAGGCCGTCACACGAGATTAGTAGCTAGGAACGTCCAAGGCCCTTGGTAACAACCACAGAAGGACACCCTTGGTAACAACCACAGAAGGACACCCTTGGTAACAACCACAGAAGGACACCCTTGGTAACAACCACAGAAGGACACCCTTGGTAACAACCACAGAAGGACACCCTTGGTAACAACCACAGAAGGACACCCTTGGTAACAACCACAGAAGGACACCCTTGGTAACAACCACAGAAGGACACCCTTGGTAACAACCACAGAAGGACAGACGATCCTGACCTGGACTACAGGCAATGTGAAGGTAATTTTTGGCACACAGACAGACAGATCAAAAGCAGTTATCAACAGATTAGATTTTGTGCTTGGCGATGTATTTTCCTGACTGTAATATTATTTGAGTACTGACTGAGGTGATATTACAATACGATAAAATTGTCTTTTATGCACATTTAGCTAGACACTGTTGTCAAAAACTCCTGTTATTTGGGGATTCAATTAATATGTGGAACCATAATCTAATCTAAAACAAAAAGTACATTAAAAAAACTAGAATGAGAACTTAAATTTAAATACACAAAAACTAAATTCTAAATCTAAACCATATATAAATAACTGGTCACATTTTTTATTAATATAATATTGGTACTGCAATATGGATGGGGCCTTAAGAGCCAAGGCAGTAGATTAGATTGGACAGATACTTCTAAACAACATGGGGATACAAAGTCTTATAAAGCAGAGGCCTCCGGTAGGCCAGGCTCTCTTCCCAAATGGCACCCTATTCCCTATATTAGTGCACTACTTTTGACCAGGGCCCTATGGGCTAGTAGTGCACTTTATAGGGAACAGGGTGACGTTTGGGACACAACACAGGACAGGACAGGCAGGAGAGACACATAGCCAGGACCAGCACAGTACACTCAGGCCATGCAAGGCCAGAACCACAGACCCATTGCAGTGTGGCTGACTGAGATGCCCATCACACGTCATGCTATCGTAATGCTGCTGCACTTCTATATCTGGCCACCAGAGGGGGTGCTAGAGCACCAATCAGCGTAGGGAGAAGGGGACGTGGGAGGGGCCAGGTCTAGCATGCACACTTCTTCTGGTCAGGCGCAGCGTCCTCCAGCTTGGCGGCTCCTCCCCCGTTGGCGGGCTCGGCGGTGGGTTTGTCGACACACTGCTCCATCCTCTTCATGACCAGGTCTAGTAGGGTGATGACCGCCTTGTCCACCTCAGACCCCGTCGCTGCCGACGTCTCAAAGTACGGGATCCTACAGGGGACATACAGAACCCACATCAGACAGGACCACACCAACACCCACATCAGACAGGACCACACCAACATCAGACAGGACCACACCAACACCCACATCAGACAGGACCACACCAACATCAGACAGGGGACACACAGAATCCACATCAGACAGGGACCACCACACAGACGGACCAACATCACAGACCACCCACATCAGACAGGACCACACCAACATCAACAGGACACCAGACACCAGACAGGACCACACCAACCCACATCAGACAGGACCACACCCAACCAACACCCACATCAGACAGGACCACACCAACATCAGACAGGACCACACCAACATCAGACAGGACCACACCACATCAGACAGGACACACACCAAACACCCCACATCAGACAGGACCACAACCCATCAGACAGGACCACACCAACATCAGACAGGACCACACCAACATCAGACAGGACCACACCAACACCCACATCAGACAGGACCACACCAACATCAGACAGGACCACACCAACATCAGACAGGACCACACCAACACCAGACAGGACCACCACATCAGACAGGACCACACCACATCAGACAGGACCACACCAAACACCACATCAGACAGGACCACACCACACACCCACATCAGACAGGACCACACCAACCATCAGACAGGACCACACCCACATCAGACAGGACCACCACACAAACCACCCAACATCAGACAGGACCACACCACACAGACAGACCACACCAACACCACATGGACCACACCAACACCAGACAGGACCACACCAACACCCACATCAGACAGGACCACACCAACATCAGACAGGACCACACCAACATCAGACAGGACCACACCAACACCAGACAGGACCACACCAACACCCACATCAGACAGGACCACACCAACACCCACATCAGACAGGACCACACCAACATCAGACAGGACCACAACCCAACATCAGACAGGACCACACCCACATCAGACAGGACCACACCAACATCAGACAGGACCACACCAACATCAGACAGGACCACACCCACATCAGACAGGACCACACCAACACCCACATAGACAGGACCACACCAACATCCAGACAGGACCACACCAACATCAGACAGGACCCCACCAACACCCACATCAGAGCATTCTACCTCGTCTTACTAGTCATATTTATGTCTAAAAGTTAAATCGAGGGACCATGTCAAGCACATCAGGGTTGTAAAAAAACAGGGACTGAAAATGATAGATTGTGAGGAGAAAATAAATACATTCTGTTGTAATAATCAAATGGTTATAACGACTTGAGAAGAGATCCACCAGGTCTTCTTTTAGTAAGGAATGAGATGTTAATGAACCACAAACTCCGCTAGTACAGCTCTGAATGACAAGCCCAGCACTCAGACAGCACCTTGAATATAGGGCCCATCGATTACGTCCCAAATGGCACCCTATTCCCTATATAGTGCACTACTTTAGACCAGAGAATGGCACCCTATTCCCTATATAGTGCACTACTTTTGACCAGGGCCCATCTACAGTACGTGTATTGGTCGGTGACTATGTGGAGAGTGAGAGATGTTGTCCGTAATAAAACCCTTGACAATGACATCATCACTAGCGCTATGACTGCAGCCTCAGCAACAGTCAAAGCAAATATAGCCTCTCTCAGACGACACTAATAATACACTTTGGACCACAATACGGTTACTGATCTTTCAGAGTAAGAGGAACCTAATGCTCATTATGCCTGTGACAGTGGTGCCGGTTCTCTCCCACCGATGAGTGTGTGTCTGTGTTTGTGCGTGTGCGTGCAAATTTCTGTATGTTTGTGTGTGCGAGCTCCAAAAGTATTGGGACAGTGACAAATGTTTGGTTGTTTTGGCTCTGTACTCCAGCACTTTGAATTTGAAATGATACAATGACTATGAGGTTAAAGTTCAGACTGTCAGCTTAAATTGGAGGGTATTTTCCTCCATATCATGGGTGAACCGTTTAGAAATTACAGCACTTTTTGTACATAGTCCCCCCATTTTAGGGGACCAAAAGTATTGGGACAAATTCACTTATATGTGTATTAAAGTAGTAAAAAGTGTGATATTTGTGTGATTCATTCAGGATTATCGGTGATGATGGTAGTATCCACATTAATGTAGAAGTGTTAAGAAACATTCTATTCTTATTTACAGTAAAAGTGAATCCAAAATGACACAATACATTATTTACCATTCATTTCTATTGGGCACAAAATAATCTGAAACACAACCAAAACAAACAGCAAATGCATCCAACAAGTTTATAGAGTCACAAGCTTGATGTAGTCATTGCGTGCTAGGAATATGGGACCAAAACGTTTCACTACTTTAATACATAAGGGAATTTGTCCCAATACTTTTGGTCCCCTAAAATGGGGGGACTATGTACAAAAGGTGCTGTAATTTCTAAACGGTTCACATGATATGAATGAAAATACACTCAAAATTAAAGCTGACAGTCTGCACTTTAACCTCATAGTCATTGTATCATTCCAAATCCAAAGTGCTGGAGTACAGAGCCAAAACAACAAAACATTTGTCACTGTCCCAATACTTTGAGCTCACCGTATGTGTGCATGACGGGGCTAGCTCTCTCCTACTCACCCGTACTTGTCGGCTAGTTCTTTAGCCTGCTCCTCCTGCACCTCTCTCTGATCCGCCAGGTCTGCCTTGTTGCCCACCAACACCATGTCTGGGTTTTCACAGTAAGCATTGGCCTGCAGCTGGCCTGGGGACAACATGAAACAGTTAACATTGGCCTGCAGCTGGCCTGGGGACAACATGAAACAGTTAACATTGGCCTGCAGCTGGCCTGGGGACAACATGAAACAGTTAACATTGGCCTGCAGCTGGCCTGGGGACAACATGAAACAGTTAACATTGGCCTGCAGCTGGCCTCTGTATCTGGCCTTGGGACAACATGAAACAGTTAACATTGGCCTGCAGCTGGCCTGGGGACAACATGAAACAGTTAACATTGGCCTGCAGCTGGCCTCTGTAGCTGGCCTGGGGACAACATGAAACAGTTAACATTGGCCTGCAGCTGGCCTGGCGACAACATGAAACAGTTAACATTGGCCAGCAGCTGGCCTGGGGACAACATGAAACAGTTAACATTGGCCTGCAGCTGGCCTGGGGACAACATGAAACAGTTAACATTGGCCTGCAGCTGGCCTGGGGACAACATGAAACAGTTAACATTGGCCTGCAGCTGGCTTGGGGACAACATGAAACAGTTAACATTGGCCTGCAGCTGGCCTGGGGACAACATGAAACAGTTAACATTGGCCTGCAGCTGGCCTGGGGACAACATGAAACAGTTAACATTGGCCTGCAGCTGGCCTCTGTAGCTGGCCTGGGGACAACATGAAACAGTTAACATTGGCCTGCAGCTGGCCTGGGGACAACATGAAACAGTTAACATTGGCCTGTAGCTGGCCTGGGGACAACATGAAACAGTTAACATTGGCCTGCAGCTGGCCTGGGGACAACATGAAACAGTTAACATTGGCCTACGGCTGGCCTGGGGACAACATTAAACAGTTAACATTGGCCTACGGCTGGCCTGGGGACAACATGAAACAGTTAACATTGGCCTGCAGCTGGCCTGGGGACAACATGAAACAGTTAACATGTTAACATTGTGGACATGGAATAAAAAACACTAACCACTATTTTTCTTTGGAACACCATGAGAAGCGCTGTGTGCCCACATAGCATTACATGTGAAGCGCTGTGTGCCCAAATAGCATTACATGTGAAGCGTAAAATGTAAATGTAAGCGCTGTGTGCCCATATACTCATTCTATAGTTTACTAGTCACCTTTTCTTCATCTTGTGCCGTCGCTAAATCTAAAGCCAGGATGATTTATTTAACCTTTATTTTCACAGGGAAGGCATACTGAGACCAAGGTATCTTTCACAGGGAAGGCATACTGAGACCTAGGTTTCTTTAACAGGGAAGGCATACTGAGACCAAGGTATCTTTCACAGGGAAGGCATACTGAGACCAAGGTATCTTTCACAGGGAAGGCATACTGAGACCAAGGTATCTTTAACAGGGAAGGCATACTGAGACCAAGGTTTCTTTAACAGGGAAGGCATACTGAGACCTAGGTATCTTTCACAGGGAAGGCATACTGAGACCAAGGTATCTTTACCAGGGAAGGCATACTGAGACCAAGGTATCTTTACCAGGGAAGGCATACTGAGACCAAGGTATCTTTCACAGGGAAGGCATACTGAGACCAAGGTATCTTTCACAGGGAAGGCATACTAAGACCAAGGTATCTTTAACAGGGAAGGCATACTGAGACCAAGGTTTCTTTAACAGGGAAGGCATACTGAGACCAAGGTATCTTTCACAGGGAAGGCATACTGAGACCAAGGTATCTTTACCAGGGAAGGCATACTGAGACCAAGGTTTCTTTAACAGGGAAGGCATACTGAGACCTAGGTATCTTTCACAGGGAAGGCATACTGAGACCAAGGTATCTTTACCAGGGAAGGCATACTGAGACCAAGGTATCTTTACCAGGGAAGGCATACTGAGACCAAGGTACCTTTCACAGGGAAGGCATACTGAGACCTAGGTATCTTTCACAGGGAAGGCATACTGAGACCAAGGTATCTTTCACAGGGAAGGCATACTGAGACCAAGGTATCTTTCACAGGGAAGGCATACTGAGACCAAGGTATCTTTAACAGGGAAGGCATACTGAGACCAAGGTATCTTTCACAGGGAAGGCATACTGAGACCTAGGTATCTTTAACAGGGAAGGCATACTGAGACCTAGGTTTCTTTCACAGGGAAGGCATACTGAGACCAAGGTATCTTTCACAGGGAAGGCATACTGAGACCTAGGTATCTTTCACAGGGGAGGCATACTGAGACCAAGGTATCTTTCACAGGGAAGGCATACTGAGACCAAGGTATCTTTCACAGGGAAGGCATACTGAGACCAAGGTATCTTTCACAGGGAAGGCATACTGAGACCTAGGTTTCTTTCACAGGGAAGGCATACTGAGACCAAGGTATCTTTCACAGGGAAGGCATACTGAGACCAAGGTATCTTTCACAGGGGAGGCATACTGAGACCAAGGTATCTTTCACAGGGAAGGCATACTGAGACCTAGGTATCTTTCACAGGGAAGGCATACTGAGACCTAGGTATCTTTAACAGGGAAGGCATACTGAGACCAAGGTATCTTTAACAGGGAAGGCATACTGAGACCTAGGTCTCTTTCACAGGGAAGGCATACTGAGACCAAGGTATCTTTCACAGGGAAGGCATACTGAGACCAAGGTATCTTTAACAGGGAAGGCATACTGAGACCAAGGTATCTTTAACAGGGAAGGCATACTGAGACCTAGGTATATTTAACAGGGAAGGCATACTGAGACCAAGGTATCTTTCACAGGGAAGGCATACTGAGACCTAGGTTTCTTTCACAGGGAAGGCATACTGAGACCTAGGTATCTTTCACAGGGAAGGCATACTGAGACCAAGGTATCTTTCACAGGGAAGGCATACTGAGACCAAGGTATCTTTAACAGGGAAGGCATACTGAGACCAAGGTATCTTTAACAGGGGAAGGCATACTGAGACCTAGGTCTCTTTCACAGGGAAGGCATACTGAGACCTAGGTATCTTTAACAGGGGAGGCATACTGAGACCTAGGTATCTTTCACAGGGAAGGCATACTGAGACCTAGGTTTCTTTCACAGGGAAGGCATACTGAGACCTAGGTATCTTTCACAGGGAAGGCATACTGAGACCTAGGTATCTTTAACAGGGAAGACATACTGAGACCTAGGTATCTTTCACAGGGAAGGCATACTGAGACCAAGGTATCTTTCACAGGGAAGGCATACTGAGACCTAGGTATCTTTAACAGGGGAGGCATACTGAGACCTAGGTATCTTTCACAGGGAAGGCATACTGAGACCTAGATCTCAGACCCCTTGACTTTTTCCACATTTTGTTACGTTACAGCCTTATTCTGAAATGGATTAAATAAAAAATGTACCTCATCAATCTACCCAAAATACCTCATAATGACAAAGCTAAAACAAGTTTTTAGAATTTTCTGCCAATTTATTACAAATAAAAAACAGAAATACCTTATTTACATAAGTATTCAGACCCTTTGCTATGAGACTCGAAATTTAGCTCAGGTGCCTCCTGTTTCCATTGATCATCCTTGAGATGTTTCTACAACTTGATTGGAGTCCACCTGTGGTAAATACAATTGACTGGACATGATTTGGAAAGGCTCACACCTGTCTATTTAAGGTCCCACAGTTGACAGTGCATGTCAGAACAAAAGCCATGAGGTCGAAGGAATTGTTCGTAGAGGTCAGAGGATTGTGCTGAGGCACAGATCTGAGGAAGGGTACCAAAAAATTTCTGCAGCATTCTAAGTCCTCAAGAACACAGTGGCCTCCATCGTTCTTAAATGGAAGAAGTTTGGAACCACCAAGACTCTTCCTAGAGCTGGCCGCCCGGCCAAACTGAGCAATCGGTGGAGAAGGGCCTTGGTCAGGGAGGTGACCAAGAACCCGAAGATCACTCTGATAGATCTCCATAGTTCATCTGTGGAGATGGGAGAACCTTCCAGAAGGACAACCATCTCTGCAGCACTCCACCAATCAGACCTTTATGGTAGAGTGGCCAGACAGAATCCTCAGTAAAAGGCACATGACAGCCCGCTTGGAGTTTGCCAAAAGGCACCTAAATGACTCTTAGAACATGAGAAAAAAGTTTATCTGGTCTGATGAAACCAAGATTGAACTCTTTGGCCTGAATGCCAAGTGTCACATGTGGAGGAAACCTGGCACCATCCCTACGGTGAAGCATGGTGGTGGCAGCATCCTGCTGTGGGAAAGTTTTTCAGCAGCAGGGACTGGGAGACTAGTCAGGATCGAGGGAAAGATGAACGGAGCAAAGTACAGAGAGATCCTTGATGAAAACCTGCTCCAGAGCGCTCAGGGCGAAGGTTCACCTTCCAACAGGACAACGACCCAAAGCACACAGCCAAGACAACGCAGGAGTGGCTTCGGGACAAGTCTCTGAATGTCCTTGAGTGGCCCAGCCAGAGCCCGGACTTGAACCCGATCAAACATCTCTGGAGAGACCTGAAAATAGCTGTGCAGCAACGCTCCCCATCCAACCTGACAGAGCTTGGGAGGATCTGCAGAGAAGAATGGGAGAAACTCCCCCAAAAAAGGTGTGCCAAGCTTGTAGCGTCATACCCAAGAAGACTTGAGTCTGTAATCGCTGCCAAAGGTGCTTCAACAAAGTACTGAGTAAAGGGTCTGAATACTTATGTAAATGTGACATTTCAGTTTTTGCTTTGTCACTAAGGGGTATTGTGTGTAGATTGATGAGGGGGAAAAAACTATTTAAACCATTTTAGAATAAGGCTGTAGCGTAACAAAATGTGGAAAAAGTCAAGGGGTCTAAATACTTTCTGAATGTACTGTATGTGAAAGACAAAGTCCATATTATGGCAAGAACAGCTAAAATAAGCAAAGAGAAACTACAGTCCATCATTACTTTAAGACATGAAGGTCAGTCAATACGGAAAATATCAACAACTTTGAAAGTTTCTTCAAGTGCAGTCGCAAAAACCATCAAGCGTATGATGAAACTGGCTCTCATGAGGACCGCCACAGGAATGGAAGACCCAGAGTCACCTCTGCTGCAGAGGATACATTCATTAGAGTTACCAGCCTCAGAAATTGCAGCCCAAATAAATGCTTCACAGAGTTCAAGTCACAGACACATCTCAACATCAACTGTTCAGAGGGGACTGTGTGAATCAGGCATTCATGGTCGATTTGCTGCAAAGAAACCACTACTAAAGGACACCAATAAGAAGAAGTGACCTGCTTGGGCCAAGAAACACAAGATTTTTGGTTCCAACCGCCATGTCTTTGTGAGACGCGGTGTGGGTGAACGGATGATCTCCGCATGTGTAGTTCCCACCGTAAAGCATGGAGGAGGAGGTGTTATGGTTTGGGGGTGCTTTGCTGGTGACACTGTCTGTGATTTATTTAGAATTCAAGGCACACTTAACCAGCATGTCCACCACAGCATTCTGCAGTGATATGCCATCCCATCTGGTTTGGGCTTAGTGGGACTGTCATTTGTTTTTCAACAGGATAATGACCAAACACACCTCCAGGCTGAGTAAGGGCTATTTGACCAAGAAGGAGAGTGATGGAGTGCTGCATCAGATGACCTGGCCTCCACAATCCCCCGACCTCAACCCAATTGAGATGGTTTGGGATGAGTCGGACGGCAGAGTGAAGGAAAAGCAGCCAACAAGTGCTCAGTATATGTGGGAACTCCTTCAAGACGGTTGGAAAAGCATTCCAGGTGAAGCTGGTTGAGAGAATGCCAAGAGTGTGCAAAGCTGTTATCAAGGCAAAGGGTGACTATTTGAAGAATCTCAAATATATTTTGATATGTTTAACACTTCTTTGGTTACTACATGATTCCATATGTGTTATTTCATAGTTTTGATGTCTTCACTATTATTATACAATGTAGAAAATAGTAAAAATAAAGAAAAACCCTTGAATGAGTAGGTGTGTCCAAACTTTTGACTGGTACTGTGTGTATATATATATATATACAGTATATATATATACATATACACTGTATGTACACACACATTAGAATAGAAAAACACAGTCATGGGAAGCACAAATAAAACATCACAAATCACCCAGAAAAACAGTTACATTCCTCCACAAATAAGTACCCAGTCAATACTTTAAATTGCCCGAACGGCACCAGAACATCAAGATGAAATGTATAAAGAATTTTGTTCCAGAAATACGGTGCATCACAACTAAAAACAGATTTACCTAGCTAGGTGGAGACCCTAGGAACCTCAAGAGTGAACCAATCCTGTGAACGGCTTAGGCAACTCAGGTGTCTATACTTCAACAGCAATGTTGGATAAGATGGAAGTTTATGAAGTAGGTTCTTGTAAACAAAAAGGGAGTAATGTAGAGATGTATGGGGGGAGAGGAGAGGAGGAGAGACTCTGACCCAGTGGCAGAACAGGCCCACTGCTCAGGGTGAATATGACACGAGAGGGAGAATTGTGTACCTGTAATTGTGCCTGCTAGCTGCCTACCGTTCAGCTGTTTTTCTAACCTCATTATCTGAAGCGTTAACGTTAGGTAGTTAGTAGCTACTGTACTCGAAATGTAGCTAGCTTGTTGCTACCTGGATAGCTACTAAACAATGGCTGGAACGACCTAGCGAACAGTCGCGAACTGGCTGAATCGATTCAGTGGCTAGCTTTGCACTTAACTGGCTAACAGTAACTGGCTAACTAAGGGTAAGTTATAACCTACATTTGTGTTTTGTTTTTACATACTGGTAACCAGAGTCGTTCAAGGGAATTCGGGACATGGGTGACTAGTTAACGTTAGCTTGGCTCTCTCTGTGTGTTCGTGCCGTGGGAGGAGGGTTTTTTTCGTTGGCAGAGAGCAATGGCTAGCTAGTATGCTAACTATTCTAGCTAACTAACTGGCTGAATATGTTGACGACGGACTCACTCAAACTGTCAAAACTAACCCAAAACTTTACACAACGTTAGACACGGACACGAATGATCTGCTTGGCGTGTTAACACACTGGTGGTTTGTTGTAACTGAGTATTGGTGCTAAACCGTGTTATTGGAGGCTGGCATGCTAGTTGGCTATGGCGTCATAGGATTCGATGCCCTGGACGGTTTTCGCGGAAGAATACTGTACCAAGTTAGCTAGCTGAATAAACTAAGTTAGAGTCTATTCCTAGAAAACATTGAACCGCTGTAGTTTACAACAATTATAATTTCTAAAGTGGAAGTTGGGAGAGTTATATTTGAGTGTTTCAGTGAAACGTGAGGAAGGCCCCACTCTCTCACTTTCCCAGATGTTTAGTTAATTTCATTCCGATCTCCTTTGCATTATTGTAGCCGTTTTCTGTAGCCTGTCAACTATGTGTCTAGGCCTGTCGAGGACAACTTATTCAATAAAATAGCACGATCAACAGAATGAAAAGCTTTTGACAGGTCCACAAACAAAACAGCACATTTCCTTTTAGTGTCTAAAGCGTTGACAAGATAATTAACAACTAAAGTGGTTTCTGTAATAGTGCTATGCCCAGGCCTAAACCCTGATTGGTTTACATTAAATCAGGGTGATTAGAGTACAGAATGCCACAGCTGAATACTAATACTCTGAAATCCTGATGAAGGCAGCTTGCTGTCAAAACATTGGCTAATTAATACAAGTATTGTATCAAGAGTAATACAGGGTGAGGATAACTTTTTTTTTTTTTATGTTTTGAACCACTGGACCTGGCCTCGCCAACGCTGGACTGGGTCTCGCCAACGCTGGACTGGGCCTCGCCAACTCTGGACTGGGCCTCGCCAATGCTGGACTGGGCCTCGCCAACGCTGGACTGGGCCTCGCCAACGCTGGACTGGGCCTCGCCAACGCTGGACTGGACGCTGGACTGGGCCTCGGCAACTCTGGACTGGGCCTCGCTAACTCTGGACTGGGTCTCGCCAACGATGGACTGGGCCTCGCCAATGCTGGACTGGGCCTCGCCAACTCTGGACTGGGCCTCGCTAACTCTGGACTGGGTCTCGCCAACGCTGGACTGGGCCTCGCCAACGCTGGACTGGGCCTCGCCAACTCTGGACTGGGCCTTGCTAACTCTGGACTGGGTCTCGCCAACGCTGGACTGGGTCTCGCCAACGCTGGACTGGGTCTCGCCAACGCTGGACTGGGCCTCGCCAACGCTGGACTGGGCCTCGCCAACGCTGGACTGGGCCTCGCTAACTCTGGACTGGGCCTCGCTAACTCTGGACTGGGCCTCGCCAACTCTGGACTGGGCCTTGCTAACTCTGGACTGGGTCTCGCCAACGCTGGACTGGGCCTCGCCAACGCTGGACTGGGCCTCGCTAACTCAGGTCTGCGTTTTCCCTTCTCCAGAAAACAGTTTACTACTAACCTTCGCCTACTTCCTGTGCCCTCAATCCAGGCCTAGATCTGAGGATGATTAGAGGATTGATTCATATTGATCACTGAGGAGCTGTCTGCTCTTCCAATACCTCCTTAATGAAACTGTCTTCCTTTCAAATGCCAGGATGTCACTGTCAATAAGAATGTGTTATTAACTGACTGGTTAAGTAAAGGTAAGGGGGGAAACTTTGTATTTCTATTCAATTGAATAAGTGAATTGACTGAATCCCCAACCTTGGCCTGGCCATGTTCTGTACCATTCAGGTTGAAGCATGCTGGTGTTTAGAAGATAAGTTTCTTGTAAAGTGGTCCTGTGTAGCTCAGTTGGTAGAGCATGGCGCTTGCATCGCCAATGGTAATGGGTTTGATTCCCGTTGGGGACACCCATGAGAACAATGTATGCACACATGAGTTGCTTTGGAAAAAAGTGTCTGCTAAATGGCATATATTATCTCAAGAGTGAGTGTGTGTGTGTGTGTGTGTGTGTACCTAGACCACAACTTACTCATCCAGTTGCGGACGTTGAGAAAGCTCTGTTGGCTGGTGAGGTCAAACATGAGAAGGAAGCCCATAGCATCTCTGAAGAAGGCTGTGGTTAGACTCCTGAACCTGGGAGGGGACAACAACAGACGTTTACAGATAGAATGCTGTGGTTAGACTCCTGGACCTGGGGGGTCAACAACAGACCTTTACAAATAGAAGGCTGTGGTTAGACTCCTGGACCTGGGGGGTCAACAACAGACGTTTACAAATAGAATGCTGTGGTTAGACTCCTGGACCTGGGGGGTCAACAACAGACGTTTACAGATAGAATGCTGTGGTTAGACTCCTGGACCTGGGGGGTCAACAACAGACCTTTACAAATAGAAGGCTGTGGTTAGACTCCTGGACCTGGGGGGTCAACAACAGACCTTTACAAATAGAATGCTGTGGTTAGACTCCTGGACCTGGGGGGTCAACAACAGACGTTTACAAATAGAATGCTGTGGTTAGACTCCTGGACCTGGGGGGGTCAACAACAGACCTTTACAAATAGAATGCTGTGGTTAGACTCCTGGACCTGGGGGGGGGCAACAACAGACGTTTACAAATAGAATGCTGTGGTTAGACTCCTGGACCTGGGGGGTCAACAACAGACCTTTACAAATAGAATGCTGTGGTTAGACTCCTGGACCTGGGGGGTCAACAACAGACGTTTACAAATAGAATGCTGTGGTTAGACTCCTGGACCTGGGGGGTCAACAACAGACCTTTACAAATAGAATGCTGTGGTTAGACTCCTGGACCTGGGGGGTCAACAACAGACCTTTACAAATAGAATGCTGTGGTTAGACTCCTGGACCTGGGGGGTCAACAACAGACGTTTACAAATAGAATGCTGTGGTTAGACTCCTGGACCTGGGGGGGGTCAACAACAGACCTTTACAAATAGAATGCTGTGGTTAGACTCCTGGACCTGGGGGGGTCAACAACAGGCCTTTACAAATAGAATGCTGTGGTTAGACTCCTGGACCTGGGGGGGGGGCAACAACAGACCTTTACAAATAGAATGCTGTGGTTAGACTCCTGGACCTGGGGGGTCAACAACAGACCTTTACAAATAGAAGGCTGTGGTTAGACTCCTGGACCTGGGGGGGTCAACAACAGACCTTTACAAATAGAATGCTGTGGTTAGACTCCTGGACCTGGGGGGGGTCAACAACAGACCTTTACAAATAGAATGCTGTGGTTAGACTCCTGGACCTGGGGGGTCAACAACAGACCTTTACAAATAGAATGCTGTGGTTAGACTCCTGGACCTGGGGGGGGTCAACAACAGACCTTTACAAATAGAATGCTGTGGTTAGACTCCTGGACCTGGGGGGTCAACAACAGACCTTTACAAATAGAAGGCTGTGGTTAGACTCCTGGACCTGGGGGGGGTCAACAACAGACGTTTACAAATAGAATGCTGTGGTTAGACTCCTGGACCTGGGGGGTCAACAACAGACGTTTACAAATAGAATGCTGTGGTTAGACTCCTGGACCTGGGGGGGGTCAACAACAGACCTTTACAAATAGAATGCTGTGGTTAGACTCCTGGACCTGGGGGGGTCAACAACAGACCTTTACAAATAGAATGCTGTGGTTAGACTCCTGGACCTGGGGGGGGGCAACAACAGACCTTTACAAATAGAATGCTGTGGTTAGACTCCTGGACCTGGGGGGGTCAACAACAGACCTTTACAAATAGAATGCTGTGGTTAGACTCCTGGACCTGGGGGGGGACAACAACAGACCTTTACAAATAGAATGCTGTGGTTAGACTCCTGGACCTGGGGGGTCAACAACAGACCTTTACAAATGGCGTTCCAATTTAGAACCGGGATGGTGACACAATTCTGCCCCAGGTCTCCAGTTTACAATCCTATTATTTTAACAAGGTTTGTTAGCTAGGGCCGGGGAAACGTCTGACACCAATCAGCCGAGGACTGGCTCAGAGAAGGTTTGAGAATGGTGATGGCAACATCAGTTTTGGGTTCGATTCCCGCATGGGTCACATATACTGAATATATCTCTGTCAATGTGGGCCCTGGTCAAAAGTAGTGGACTATATAGGGAATAAGGATGTAGGCTAATCTACTCTTCAACCATCAGTTGTCTGAGAAGAGGCTCAAGGAGTTTGAGCCATTGTTCATTGCGTCAAAAATACTGACTAAAATATTTGTCAAACACCTATTTTTCAGTGGCAATTGATGAGACTACAACTGACTAAACAAAACTGGAACTAATCGAAAATTATTTTTCATTTCAGTTGACTAAAACGAGACGAGACAAAATTATCTCTGACTAAAATCTGACTACAAGTTTACTGGACAAGAGTTTTTGGAGAGATTGAGAGCTTTTCAGTGACAAGCACAATTAATATTAGCAGCACAGATGCGCCGTTCTGTTCAGCAGTGGACGCCACACCCTGCACACACAGCCTACATCAGCTGGTGAGCTGCGGGGGAGCAAGCGATGAGTGTGGGCAGACAGGCAGACAGGCTCCGCTCCGGCTCCGCCTACGATTATACACATCGCGCTGGCGACTCTCTTGCTTCCCCGTAGCTAACCAGTGACCACCAGCCTTCTGGTTAGCTACCCTTTGCCTGGTTAAGAAACACAAGCTGCTTTACGAAATTAAAAACAATAGCAGCATTGAGTTTAATAGTAAAACAACAGTCTAGCTATGTTTTTCTCCCACTTGAGTATAGAAAAGTAGTCTGTCTTTTGAATTTGTAATCTTGTTCAACCCTCCCACTTTCCTGACTGCATTTCATATCCAGGATCTACACTATATCTGACTGGTTGTCACACCCTGACTCATGGGACACTTGTATGTTGAGTCAGGGTGTGGATATTCTATGTTAGTATTTCTATGTTGCATTCTAGGTTGTGTATGTCTATGTTTGGCCAGGTGTGATTCCCAATCAGAGGCAGCTGTCGTTCGTTGTCTCTGATTGGGGCTCATACTTAGGCAGCCTGTCATTAGTTGTGGGATCTTGTTCCGTGTTAGAGTTTAGCCTGAGGACTTCACGTTTCGTTGGTTTGTTGTTTTTGTTCGTGTGTTTATCGGTGAATAAACATGTATGCAATTCACGCTGCTCCTTGGCCTGACCCGTCCTTCAACGACCGTGACACTGGGTTAATAACTCCTCTTACCACTACACTATATCTGACTGGGTTAATAACTCCTCTTACCACTACACTATATCTGACTGGTTAATAACTCCTCTTACCACTACACTATATCTGACTGGGTTAATAACTCCTCTTACCACTACACTAATCGACTGTATACTCTCTACACTACCATACTGGGTTAATAACCCTCTTACCATTAACTATATCTGACTGGTTAATAACTCCTCTTACCACTACACTATATCTGACTGGGTTAATAACTCCTCTACCACTACACTAGATCTGACTGGTAATAACTCCTCTGATTACCACTACACTATATCTGACGTGTTAATAACTCCTCCTCTACCACTACACTATATCTAGACTTGGGTTTAATAACTCCTCTTACCACTAACACACTATACTGACTGTGGGTTAATAACTCCTCTTACCACTACACTATATTCTGACTGGTTAATAACTCCTCTTACCACTACACTATATCTGACTGGGTTAATAACTCCTCTTACCACTACACTATATCTGACTGGGTTAATAACTCCTCTTACCACTACACTATATCTGACTGGTTTAATAACTCCTCTTACCACTACACTATATCTGACTGGGTTAATAACTCCTCTTACCACTACACTATATCTGACTGGGTTTAATAACTCCTCTTACCACTACACTATATCTGACTGGTTAATAACTCCTCTTACCACTACACTATATCTGACTGGGTTAATAACTCCTCTTACCACTACACTATATCTGACTGGGTTAATAAACTCCTCTTACCACTACACTATATCTGACTGGGTTAATAACTCCTCTTACCACTACACTATATCTGACTGGGTTAATAACTCCTCTTACCACTACACTATATCTGACTGGGTTAATAACTCCTCTTACCACTACACTATATCTGACTGGTTAATAACTCCTCTTACCACTACACTATAATCTGACTGGGTTAAATAACTCCTCTTACCACTAACACTATATCTGACTGGGTTAATAACTCCTCTTACCACTACACTATATCTGACTGGGTTAATAACTCCTCTTACCACTACACTATATCTGACTGGTTAATAACTCCTCTTACCACTACACTATATCTGACTGGGTTAATAACTCCTCTTACCACTACACTATATCTGACTGGGTTAATAACTCCTCTTACCACTACACTATATCTGACTGGTTAATAACTCCTCTTACCACTACACTATATCTGACTGGTTAATAACTCCTCTTACCACTACACTATATCTGACTGGGTTAATAACTCCTCTTACCACTACACTATATCTGACTGGGTTAATAACTCCTCTTACCACTACACTATATCTGACTGGTTAATAACTCCTCTTACCATTACACTATATCTGACTGGGTTAATAACTCCTCTTACCACTACACTATATCTGACTGGTTAATAACTCCTCATACCACTACACTATATCTGACTGGGTTAATAACTCCTCTTACCACTACACTATATCTGACTGGGTTAATAACTCCTCTTACCACTACAACTATATCTGACTGGTTAATAACTCCCCTTACCACTACACTATATCTGACTGGTTAATAACTCCTCTTACCACTACACTATATCTGACTGGTTAATAACTCCTCTTACCACTACACTATATCTGACTGGGTTAATAACTCCTCTTACCACTACACTATATCTGACTGGTTAATAACTCCTCTTACCACTACACTATATCTGACTGGGTTAATAACTCCTCTTACCACTACACTATATCTGACTGGGTTAATAACTCCTCTTACCACTACACTATATCTGACTGGGTTAATAACTCCTCTTACCACTACACTATATCTGACTGGGTTAATAACTCCTCTTACCACTACACTATATCTGACTGGGTTAATAACTCCTCTTACCACTACACTATATCTGACTGGGTTAATAACTCCTCTTACCACTACACTATATCTGACTGGGTTAATAACTCCTCTTACCACTACACTATATCTGACTGGGTTAATAACTCCTCTTACCACTACACTATATCTGACTGGTTAATAACTCCTCTTACCACTACACTATATCTGACTGGGTTAATAACTCCTCTTACCACTACACTATATCTGACTGGGTTAATAACTCCTCTTACCACTACACTATATCTGACTGGGTTAATAACTCCTCTTACCACTACACTATATCTGACTGGTTAATAACTCCTCTTACCACTACACTATATCTGACTGGGTTAATAACTCCTCTTACCACTACACTATATCTGACTGGGTTAATAACTCCTCTTACCACTACACTATATCTGACTGGTTAATAACTCCTCTTACCACTACACTATATCTGACTGGTTAATAACTCCTCTTACCACTACACTATATCTGACTGGGTTAATAACTCCTCTTACCACTACACTATATCTGACTGGGTTAATAACTCCTCTTACCACTACACTATATCTGACTGGGTTAATAACTCCTCTTACCACTACACTATATCTGACTGGTTAATAACTCCTCTTACCACTACACTATATCTGACTGGGTTAATAACTCCTCTTACCACTACACTATATCTGACTGGGTTAATAACTCCTCTTACCACTACACTATATCTGACTGGGTTAATAACTCCTCTTACCACTACACTATATCTGACTGGTTAATAACTCCTCTTACCACTACACTATATCTGACTGGGTTAATAACTCCTCTTACCACTACACTATATCTGACTGGTTAATAACTCCTCTTACCACTACACTATATCTGACTGGGTTAATAACTCCTCTTACCACTACACTATATCTGACTGGGTTAATAACTCCTCTTACCACTACACTATATCTGACTGGGTTAATAACTCCTCTTACCACTACACTATATCTGACTGGTTAATAACTCCTCTTACCACTACACTATATCTGACTGGTTAATAACTCCTCTTACCACTACACTATATCTGACTGGTTAATAACTCCTCTTACCACTACACTATATCTGACTGGGTTAATAACTCCTCTTACCACTACACTATATCTGACTGGGTTAATAACTCCCTACACTATATCTGACTGGTTAATAACTCCTCTTACCACTACACTATATCTGACTGGGTTAATAACTCCTCTTACCACTACACTATATCTGACTGGGTTAATAACTCCTCTTACCACTACACTATATCTGACTGGTTAATAACTCCTCTTACCACTACACTATATCTGACTGGTTAATAACTCCTCTTACCACTACACTATATCTGACTGGGTTAATAACTCCTCTTACCACTACACTATATCTGACTGGTTAATAACTCCTCTTACCACTACACTATATCTGACTGGGTTAATAACTCCTCTTACCACTACACTATATCTGACTGGGTTAATAACTCCTCTTACCACTACACTATATCTGACTGGTTAATAACTCCTCTTACCACTACACTATATCTGACTGGTTAATAACTCCTCTTACCACTACACTATATCTGACTGGGTTAATAACTCCTCTTACCACTACACTATATCTGACTGGGTTAATAACTCCTCTTACCACTACACTATATCTGACTGGTTAATAACTCCTCTTACCACTACACTATATCTGACTGGGTTAATAACTCCTCTTACCACTACACTATATCTGACTGGTTAATAACTCCTCTTACCACTACACTATATCTGACTGGGTTAATAACTCCTCTTACCACTACACTATATCTGACTGGGTTAATAACTCCTCTTACCACTATATCTGACTGGGTTAATAACTCCTCTTACCACTACACTATATCTGACTGGGTTAATAACTCCTCTTACCACTACACTATATCTGACTGGGTTAATAACTCCTCTTACCACTACACTATATCTGACTGGGTTAATAACTCCTCTTACCACTACACTATATCTGACTGGTTAATAACTCCTCTTACCACTACACTATATCTGACTGGTTAATAACTCCTCTTACCACTACACTATATCTGACTGGTTAATAACTCCTCTTACCACTACACTATATCTGACTGGGTTAATAACTCCTCTTACCACTACACTATATCTGACTGGTTAATAACTCCTCTTACCACTACACTATATCTGACTGGGTTAATAACTCCTCTTACCACTACACTATATCTGACTGGGTTAATAACTCCTCTTACCACTACACTATATCTGACTGGGTTAATAACTCCTCTTACCACTACACTATATCTGACTGGTTAATAACTCCTCTTACCACTACACTATATCTGACTGGGTTAATAACTCCTCTTACCACTACACTATATCTGACTGGTTAATAACTCCTCTTACCACTACACTATATCTGACTGGGTTAATAACTCCTCTTACCACTACACTATATCTGACTGGGTTAATAACTCCTCTTACCACTACACTATATCTGACTGGGTTAATAACTCCTCTTACCACTACACTATATCTGACTGGGTTAATAACTCCTCTTACCACTACACTATATCTGACTGGTTAATAACTCCTCTCACCACTACACTATATCTGACTGGTTAATAACTCCTCTTACCACTACACTATATCTGACTGGGTTAATAACTCCTCTTACCACTACACTATATCTGACTGGTTAATAACTCCTCTTACCACTACACTATATCTGACTGGTTAATAACTCCTCTTACCACTACACTATATCTGACTGGGTTAATAACTCCTCTTACCACTATATCTGACTGGGTTAATAACTCCTCTTACCACTACACTATATCTGACTGGGTTAATAACTCCTCTTACCACTATATCTGACTGGGTTAATAACTCCTCTTACCACTACACTATATCTGACTGGGTTAATAACTCCTCTTACCACTATATCTGACTGGTTAATAACTCCTCTTACCACTACACTATATCTGACTGGGTTAATAACTCCTCTTACCACTACACTATATCTGACTGGGTTAATAACTCCTCCTACCACTACACTATATCTGACTGGTTAATAACTCCTCTACCACTACACTATATCTGACTGGTTAATAACTCCTCTTACCACTACACTATATCTGACTGGTTAATAACTCCTCTTACCACTACACTATATCTGACTGGGTTAATAACTCCTCTTACCACTACACTATATCTGACTGGTTAATAACTCCTCTTACCATTACACTATATCTGACTGGTTAATAACTCCTCTTACCACTACACTATATCTGACTGGGTTAATAACTCCTCTTACCGCTACACTATATCTGACTGGTTAATAACTCCTCTTACCATTACACTATATCTGACTGGTTAATAACTCCTCTTACCACTACACTATATCTGACTGGGTTAATAACTCCTCTTACCGCTACACTATATCTGACTGGGTTAATAACTCCTCTTACCACTACACTATATCTGACTGGTTAATAACTCCTCTTACCACTACACTATATCTGACTGGTTAATAACTCCTCTTACCACTACACTATATCTGACTGGGTTAATAACTCCTCTTACCACTACACTATATCTGACTGGTTAATAACTCCTCTTACCACTACACTATATCTGACTGGGTTAATAACTCCTCTTACCACTACACTATATCTGACTGGTTTAATAACTCCTCTTACCACTACACTATATCTGACTGGTTAATAACTCCTCTTACCACTACACTATATCTGACTGGTTAATAACTCCTCTTACCATTACACTATATCTGACTGGGTTAATAACTCCTCTTACCACTACACTATATCTGACTGGTTAATAACTCCTCTTACCATTACACTATATCTGACTGGTTAATAACTCCTCTTACCACTACACTATATCTGACTGGGTTAATAACTCCTCTTACCACTACACTATATCTGACTGGGTTAATAACTCCCCTTACCACTACACTATATCTGACTGGGTTAATAACTCCTCTTACCACTACACTATATCTGACTGGGTTAATAACTCCTCTTACCACTACACTATATCTGACTGATTAATAACTCCTCTTACCACTATATCTGACTGGTTAATAACTCCTCTCACCACTACACTATATCTGACTGATTAATAACTCCTCTTACCACTATATCTGACTGGTTAATAACTCCTCTTACCACTACACTATATCTGACTGGTTAATAACTTTATTTGGACTCAGTGACTCGGACTGGAGCACTGGGACTCGGACTTCAGCCATAGGGACTCGTGACTCGACAATTGGTGACTCGGACTTGGACTGGAGCACAGAGGACCATTGCGGTGACCATATTACCGCCACACCACCCGTCATGAGTCGTGACCGCAGTCAAAATTCCACATGACCGTTGAGTCACGGTAATCTCCTTTTATGCACTCTGGACATGCGTTGGTAGCACCCAACTCGCTAACGCTCATCAGGTCGCTAATGGCCTGCTACTCAGGGCTCTACTGTCCCTCTAACCATCAGGTCCTAATGGCCTGGTACTCAGGGCTCTACTGTCCCTCTAACCATCAGGTCCTAATGGCCTGGTACTCAGGGCTCTACTGTCCCTCTAACCATCAGGTCCTAATGGCCTGGTACTCAGGGCTCTACTGTCCCTCTAACCATCAGGTCCTAATGGCCTGCTACTCAGGGCTCTACTGTCCCTCTAACCATCAGGTCCTAATGGCCTGGTACTCAGGGCTCTACTGTCCCTCTAACCATCAGGTCCTAATGGCCTGGTACTCAGGGCTCTATTGTCCCTCTAACCATCAGGTCCTAATGGCCTGCTACTCAGGGCTCTATTGTCCCTCTGACCATCAGGTCCTAATGGCCTGGTACTCAGGGCTCTACTGTCCCTCTAACCATCAGGTCCTAATGGCCTGGTACTCAGGGCTCTACTGTCCCTCTAACCATCAGGTCCTAATGGCCTGGTACTCAGGGCTCTACTGTCCCTCTAACCATCAGGTCCTAATGGCCTGGTACTCAGGGCTCTACTGTCCCTCTAACCATCAGGTCCTAATGGCCTGGTACTCAGGGCTCTACTGTCCCTCTAACCACTCTGACGTCAATGCAAATGCAATCGAAAATCACACGAAACACTAATCATCAAAACATAATGCTTTTTAAAACTCACCATTAGGCAAAACATTTTTTACATCAATTTGGAGAAAGAAGTTCAACAACAGGTTGAAACTGAGTGGGAAACATGGTCGTTGTGGATGTTGTGTCAAAGCCAAAACAACGAAATGAACGCTTTCTAAGGTGACGATTTATTCAAAACATTTAATACGTTGCATGTAGAACACTCTTACACATATTAGAGCCGATGCATATGCATTTTCCTATATATTTTTGTTGTTTTGGGGGGTAGATCAACTTTAATATTGCAGATAGTTTGTAGCTTCCATCAATGTAATTGTCTGCATAATTTCCAATCCCACATATATTTTTGGGTAAATATATATATACAGTACCAGTCAAACGTTTGGGCACACCTACTCATTCAAGGGTTTTCTTTATTTTTACTATTTTCTACATTGTAGAATAATAGTGAAGACATCAAAGCTATGAAATAACACATATGGAATCATTTAGTAACCAAAAAAGTGTTAAACAAATCAAAATATATTTTATATTTGAGATTCTTCAAAGTAGCCACCCTTTGCATTGATGACAGCTTTGCACACTCTTGGCATTCTCTCAACCAGCTTCATGAGGTAGTCACCTGGAATGCATTTGTAATGCATTCAGGCGCAGGAGAGTAATATGCATCCAAAAAGTTTATTCCGTCGATAAACAGTGAAAGCACAATTGAGACAACAAAACTCAGGCACAGGGGAAATATCTACCCTGGCAACAATAAGGTAAGGGCAGCTCAACCGAGCCACACACAGCTCACTACAAACAATCACCCACACAGACAAGGAAGCAGAGGGAACACTTATACAATGACTAATTGGGGATAAGGACCAGGTGTGTGTGATTAATTAGACAAGACTAGTGGAGTGATGATAAATGGATCGGCAGCAGCTAGTAAGCCGGTGACGACGAACGCCGAAACCTGCCCGAACAATGAGGGGAGGCAGCCTCGGCGGAAGTCGTGACAGCATTTCAATTAACAGGTGTGCCTTCTTAAAAGTTATTTTGTGGAATTTATTTCCTTCTTCATGCCTTTGAGCCAATCAGTTGTGTTGTGACAAGGTAGGGAGGGTATACAGAAGATAGCCCTATTTGGTAAAAGAGTAAGTCCATATTATGGCAAGAACAGCTCAAATAAGCAAAGAGAAACTCAGTCCATCATTACTTTAAGACATGAAGGTCAGTCAATACGGAACATTTCAAGAACTTTTAAAGTTCCTTCAAGTGCAGTCGCAAAAACCATCAAGCGCTATGGTGAAACTGGCTCTCATGAGGACCGCCACAGGAATGGAAGACCCAGAGTTACCTCTGCTGCAGACGATAAGTTCATTAGAGTTAACAGCCTCAGAAATTGCAGCCCAAATAAATGCTTCACAGTGTTCAAGTAACAGACACATCTCAACATCAACTGTTCAGAGGGGACTGTGTGAATCAGGCCTTCGTGGTCGAATTGCTGCAAAGAAACCACTACTAAAGGACACCAATAAGAAGAAGAGACCTGCTTGGGCCAAGAAACACGAGCAATGGACATTAGACCGGTGGAAATGTGTCCTTTGGTCTGGAATACAAATTTGAGATTTTTGGTTCAAACGGCCATGTCTTTGTGAGACACGGTGTGGGTGAACGGATAATCTCTGCATGTGTAGTTCCCACCATAAAGCATGGAGGAGGTGGTGATATGGTGTGGGGGTGCTTTGCTGGTGACACTGTCTGTGATTTATTTAGAATTCAAGGCACGCTTAACCAGCATGGCTACCACAGCATTCTCCAGCGATACGCCATCACATCTGGTTTGGGCTTAGTGTGACTATCATTTGTTTTTCAACAGGACAATGACCCAACACACCTCCAGGCTGTGTAAGGGCTATTTTACCAAGAAGGAGGGTAATGGAGTGCTGCATCAGATGACCTGGCCTCCACAATCCCCCGACCTCAACCCAACTGAGATGGTTTGGGATGAGTCGGACGGCAGAGTGAAGGAAAAGCAGCCAACAAGTGCTCAGCATATGTGGGAACTCCTTCAAGACTGTTGGAAAAGCATTCCAGGTGAAGCTGGTTCAGAGAATGCCAAGAGTGTGCAAAGCTGTCATCAAGGCAAAGGGTGGCTATTTTAAGAATCACAAATATAAAATATATTTTGATTTGTTTAACACTTTTTTGGTTACTACATGATTCCATATGTGTTATTTCATAGTTTTGATGTCTTCACTATTATTCTACAATGTAGAAAATAGTAAAAATAAAGAAAAACCCTTGAATGAGTAGGTGTGTCAAAACTTTTGACTGGTATTATTTTTTATTTATCACAATTTTCTTTAACCAATTATGTTCTTTAATGCAGGGCCGACAGACAAGTTCCTTACTTTCTCCTCCTTCCACTTTCCTCTTGCATTTTCGCGGTAATGCTGCAATTATTTGGTTGTAATTTTGGGTAGAGCAGACATATCCATATGTTTTTGTTCGCTGCATGTATGACATTACTCCACCAGTCCTATTTATGATATCATTTACAAAGATTATACCTTTTATTAAAATGTTATGGAAAAATTATGTTTTTTTAATCAATTAGTATATTTCAGTTTAACCACAATATTTGTTGTATTATTTGTTCTGTCTTTTCTGGTGGATTAAACTGAAATTGCAACCAACTTTATATGGCTTGTTTTAAAAATAGTAATAATTTTCAAATAATAATGGCCCGTTGTTTTAATCATTTTGACAATAACTAGACAATCATTATTCAAATGACAAAAATGTGACTTTATTTCAGTAAAAATGACTAAGACTACACTAAACTTTTTTTTTTTTTAAAGAGTGCCAAAATGAAAACTGGTTTGAACGTAGAGCGGTTGACTCTCAAGAAGCTTTCACTCTATTCCCTATGTAGTGCACAACTTTTATCCAGGCTCTGGACAACATAGGGAATATGGTCCCGTTAGGGACACAGCCTCAGTCTGTCTCTCGTTGAGGCTTTTTTTTTTAGATGAACAAGACACGTCAGTTTCTCTCTCGTACGTACGGAGGTGTCAGACCCTCCAGCATCACAGCCAGATTCTGTGAAGACGCTGTGGAGACGCCTGATCGTTATGGCTTGTTAAGGCCTTGTAGAACTACATCAAGCATCATTCTCACAAGGTAGGGGGAGGGGGAGTGATACCTTGAGAGAATCTCACGTCGTGAGAGCTTGAGATAGTGTAGTTAAACAAAACATCAAGCTACAAACTGAATGGCAGCAGTGGTTTGTCTATGATTTCATGCTAAGCAAAGCTTAGGTAAAATAGCTATTCCCATGACTACCCTCTCTCTTTATAATGCATTATAAAGCACATTTGTAACACTTTGTGAGCTATATGCAATGCTTTCCAATGCAGTTCCAGTACCTCTCCTGTCCAGCTGTATCCCAGAGCTGGAGGTGAACTTTAAAGGTTTTCCCTGTGGTTCCATTGGGGCCCGACGCTGTGTACACCTGAAACACACCCGAAAACACATGGACACGTACAGGGTGAGAAACGCATACACTCACCTGGCAGAGGCACCGCTACTATCTGATACACTCACCTGGCAGAGGCACCGCTACTATCTGATACACTCACCTGGCAGAGGCACCGCTACTATCTGATACACTCACCTGGCAGAGGCACCGCTACTATCTGATACACTCACCTGGCAGAGGCACCGCTACTATCTGATACACTCACCTGGCAGAGGCACCGCTACTATCTGATACACTCACCTGGCAGAGGCACCGCTACTATCTGATACACTCACCTGGCAGAGGCACCGCTACTATCTGATACACTCACCTGGCAGAGGCACCGCTACTATCTGATACACTCACCTGGCAGAGGCACCGCTACTATCTGATACACTCACCTGGCAGAGGCACCGCTACTATCTGATACACTCACCTGGCAGAGGCACCGCTACATTTACATTTACATTTACGTCATTTAGCAGACGCTCTTATCAGCTACTGTCTGACAGATGTTATTTCTCTCAGGGGAAACCATGTCGCTGTCGAGTGCATGTCAGAGATTTGAAATGTAAAAGAAAATTCCCATTCTGTTTTTCTGCATCACGTTAGCTAAATGTACAGATCTATGTTAGCTAAGTCACTAAATCTACAGATTTATAGTACATTAGCTAAGTCACTAAATCTACAGATCTACGTTAGCTAAGTCACTAAATCTACAGATGTATAGTACATTAGCTAAGTCACTAAATCTACAGATCTACGTTAGCTAAGTTACTAAATCTACAGATATGTTAGCTAAGTGACTAAATCTACAGATCTATGTTAGCTAAGTGACTAAATCTACAGATCTATGTTAGCTAAGTGACTAAATCTACAGATCTATGTTAGCTAAGTCACTAAATCTACAAATCTATGTTAGCTAAGTCACTAAATCTACAGATCTATGTTAGCTAAGTCACTAAATCTACAGATCTAGGTTAGCTAAGTCACTAAATCTACAGATCTACGTTAGCTAAACCACTAAATCTACAGATCTACGTTAGCTAAGTCACTAAATCTACAGATCTATGTTAGCTAAGTCACTAAATCTACAGATCTATGTTAGCTAAATCACTAAATCTACAGATCTATGTTAGCTAAATCACAAAATCTACAGATCTATGTTAGCTAAATCACTAAATCTACAGATCTATGTTAGATAAGTCACTAAATCTACAGATCTATGTTAGCTAAATCACTAAATCTACAGATCTACGTTAGCTAAACCACTAAATCTACAGATCTATGTTAGCTAAGTCACTAAATCTACAGATCTGTGTTAGCTAAGTCACTAAATCTACAGATCTATGTTAGCTAAGTCACTAAATCTACAGATCTATGTTAGCTAAGTGACTAAATCTACAGATCTATGTTAGCTAAGTGACTAAATCTACAGATCTATGTTAGCTAAGTCACTAAATCTACAGATCTATGTTAGCTAAGTCACTAAATCTACAGATCTACGTTAGCTAAACCACTAAATCTACAGATCTATGTTAGCTAAGTCACTAAATCTACAGATCTATGTTAGCTAAGTCACTAAATCTACAGATCTATGTTAGCTAAGTCACTAAATCTACAGATCTATGTTAGCTAAGTCACTAAATCTACAGATCTATGTTAGCTAAATCACTAAATCTACAGATCTATGTTAGCTAAATCACTAAATCTACAGATCTATGTTAGCTAAATCACTAAATCTACAGATCTATGTTAGCTAAGTCACTAAATCTACAGATCTATGTTAGCTAAATCACTAAATCTATAGATCTATGTTAGCTAAGCCACTAATCTACAGATCTATATTAGCTAAATCACTAAATCTATAGATCTACATTAGCTAAACCACTAATCTACAGGTCTAAGCTACTCAGGCTCCTAGCTTTATAAACGGAAAGAAAAACGGTTTTGACATCCCACTGGTTCTGTTATCAACAGAGGTACAACAGAGACTTTAGTATAAGAAAACAGTATTATCCTCTGGAGAAAATTAGTTTTGCTGCGGAATCCAAAGAAAAATACTGGAACAAAATTGACATTAACAGATAAAAACTGTCATGAACAGATAAAAAACGGACATGAACAGATAAAACAGGGTCATAGTAAATAAATAGATTACCAGCGTTATAGGGATTCAGACAAACAATGTCCGCATGGGAGAAGAGGAACTTTGATGAGGGAAGGAGTAGCCCAGCGTTTCCCAAACCCGGTCCTCGGGTATGTTTTAGTAACCAGTCGCCCAGCGTTTCCCAAACCCGGTCCTCAGGAACCCAAGGGGTGCACGTTTTGGTTTTTGACCCTAACACTACACAGCTGATTCAAATGATCAAAGCTTGATGATCATGTTGATTATTTGAATCGGCTGTGTAGTGCTAGGGTCAAAAACCAAAACGTGCACCCCTTGGGGTTCCGAGGCCCGGCTTTGGGAAACCCTGCACTAGCCTAAACAGTGGATGTTTTCTCATGTATTTTTGCATTCATGGACATTACAAAGAGATATTAGCATTTTCTTGCTCTTTGCCTAGCTAAGGCTAGACATGCAATGGTCTGTGTCTGTCTGCAGGGCATGTGCCTCTGGATCAATGAGGTATCACTAAGCCATCACTGAGGTACTGTATGCAAAAGCAGGCAGCGTCATTATTCACTTTGCTTCTGTGTCACAGGATTACATGTCATTGATGGTCCTACTGGCACATATCACGGTTTAGTGTCACAGTGATAAGTTTTGGCTGTCTTTGACATGAGAGATTTTACTTTATTCTGAGCGCTGGAGTCATAAAAGGACTATAGTCACATGGCTTAACAGTGGCAGAGGTTCATCCTCTCCCATTAATTCAACTTTACAGCTATCCTTCCCCTCCTCTTCCCTGGCCATGTCTGAACAGCCCAGTGAGTCATCTTAACACGGATGAAGAGAAGAGAAGTGGTGACACCTTTACTGGCTGCATACCGATTCTCCACGCTTCACCCTCCCTGTCATGGATTTAAAGAGCGGCTGCCCCTAAAAAGCAACTCCTCGTTTTGAAAACGGCCTATGTGGCATCGATATGTCAGAAACATTTATTCTAGTGTCAAAATTGACTACAAAGTGTAAATAGGATAATTCTGGTCATAACATAAAGTCAGTTTCGTCCAAAACTGAGATTTGTGATTTTAAAAAATGTTCTGTCACTGAATGAAGGGAACCGGAACAGTTTCAGCTTCCCTTGGGTTGACTTTATTTCATCCTGCCCACAGTGCAGCTCCTCCTCTCCTCTCCTCTCCTCTCCTCTCCTCTCCTCTCCTCTCCTCTCCTCTCCTCTCCTCTCCTCTCCTCTCCTCTCCCCTCCCCTCCCCTCCCCTCCCCTCCCCTCTCCTCTCCTCTCCTCTCCTCTCCTCTCCTCTCCTCTCCTCTCCTCTCCTCTCCTCTCCTCCCTCTCCTCTCCTCTCCTCCCCTCTCCTCTCCTCTCCTCTCCTCTCCTCTCCTCTGACATTCGATATCCCTATGGGGCTAGTTAGGGACCATCAGTAAATTACACAATGAACATGGGACAATATTTAGAAATGACAACAGCTCCAAATATCAATGACTTCAACCATTATACAAGATGGAACTGTGATTGGGAAGGCTGGAGAATATAACCATTATACAAGATGGAACTGATTGGGAGGGCTAGAGAATATAACCATTATACAAGATGAAACTGATTGGGAGGGCTGGAGAATATAACCATTATACAAGATGAAACTGTGATTGGGAGGGCTGGAGAATATAACCATTATACAAGATGAAACTGTGATTGGGAGGGCTGGAGAATATAACCATTATACAAGATGAAACTGTGATTGGGAGGGCTGGAGAATATAACCATTATACAAGATGAAACTGTGATTGGGAGGGCTGTCCTAACATGTCAAAAATGTTTGCAGAAAAACATTTGTTTATGCGTGGAGAACGTTAAGATTGTGACCAATGAGTAACAATGAATTTGGGCAGATAGATACATTTGCAAGCCACTTATCCATGTGATGGCTAACCATAGCCTATGACAGAGAATAGATTGGGATATATCTCTGTGAGCTTCCTGCAAAAGAAAGTTTATGACACAAGACAACATATTGCTTAACCAAATACGCCCAGTGGGTCTAAATATTCCTGATAGTGATTAAGAATCCGGATAAGAGCGTCTGCTAAATGACTAAAATGTTAAATGTAAAATGTAATGTAAAGAAACCCATTAGCCTGTTATCTAGTGTGTGCCCCCCGAGAAATGCCTCAAGAGACTTAGACGTAGAAACGTGCATTTACAATAACCCACCCGGATCGGATGATAGCTGAAGTCAATGAAATGCTATTAACATGGGGTGACAGCTAGACGTGGCGTCATGATTGAGTGAATCAGAATTGTGACGCAGTAATAAGGGAAAAAAGTAGGCTACAGTGATCAAACGCCGGCTGTAGCAAGTAGCCTGTAGCTCAGTTGGTAGAGCATGGCGCTTGCAACACCAGGGTTGTGGGTTTGTTTCTCACGGGGGGCCAGTATAAAAATGTATGCACTCACTAACTGTAAGTCGCTCTGGATAAGAGCGTCTGCTAAATGACTAAAATGTAAAATGTATACAGCCGTGATGATTACCGATGAAAATTATCTTGGTAGATAAAAGGGTCTGTACCTTACCATGAGGTATTCTATATCAGGTGAACAAAAACTAGAGATTTCCTTCACACTGGAAGCAGTGCACCAGTTGTTGTTTATGAAGATACTCACCCTTCCCCCTTTGGACTTGCCCGAGGCCGCCTTCGTCTGGGGGGGCAGTATGAAAAATGTACGCAAGTCGCTCAGGATAAGAACGTCTGCTAAATTACTAAAATGTAAAATGTAGCCACGTGCAAATTGAAATACAGCGGATTTAAACAATAGTAATCAGTAATAATTAATAAAGTAGTAATCAATTGGAATTAGCAACAATAGGAAACTGTGAATTCTATCATGCTTACTGTATGAAATTACAGTGAGCAATCTGACCAGCTTTACTGATTGAACTTTCCTAAACTACATGAAGATACTCACCACCCTTTGATATTGATGACAGAGGAAGGAAGGAAGGAAGGAAGATACTCACCACTATTTTGTGTGTGTGTGTGTGTGTGTGTGTGTGTGTGTGTGTGTGTGTGTGTGTGTGCTTACCACTCTCTTTTCCCTGAAGTCTATTCCCACTGTGGTGATGAACTTGGGGTTGAACTTGTTGTCAGTGTACCTGTAAGATAATACTTTATTAATCCCCTGAAGGATTTGTTTTCACCAGCTGATCCATACATTACCATTAATAGCTACAGTAGAAGTCGGAAGTTTACATACACTTAGGTTGGAGTCATTAAAACTAGTTTTTCAACCACTCCACCAATTTCTTGTTTACAAACTATAGTTTTGGCAAGTCGGTTAGGACATCTACTTTGTGCATGACACAAGTAATTTTTCTAACAATTGTTTACAGACAGGTTATTTCACTTATAATTCACTGTATCACACAATTCCAGTGGGTCAGAAGTTTACATACACTAAGTTGACTGTGCCTATAAACAGCTTGGAAAATTCTGATAGCTTCTGATAGGCTAATTGGCATAATTTGAGTCAATTGGAGGTGT